CCCTTGATACATCTGTTTCTCTCTCAAACACTTGTCTCCAGTGTGCACCCCATACCCAAGTGAGTCAGCAATCACGTCTGCTGGGCCTGGAAGTCATGCATTGGTCTGAATTGGAAATGGGGGTATTTTTGCTGTGTTTCCTGCAGATTCTATTCTAATGCAGTTTGGAATAACGTCATTTCTGCTCTCCATTCTGCAGAGTTACTGCCTTGCTAAAATTCCTCATATGAAAAGGTCTCCATTACTCCCTCCTTACTGGTGTCAAGTTTTCCTCCTGGTTTGGGCTGGCTGGAGAGAAACAAGTATACAACTTACTTGATAAATGTGCACCAGTAGTTTTGCCTGACCTCTAACAACAATTAGCATTTTTTTACACATCATAAATCATAAAGCAGCTTTATGGCTACAAAGGAGCTTTTCACCCCAGACTCTCTACTCCTGAAGGCTCCACCAGAACCCCACTGAAGTCAGCAGGTGCTTCAGATAAGGATCAGGTTCATCTATACTTCTTTCCTTAGCTGGCCAAGAACATTTTTTGTGCTTTCCTATGCACTCAGGATGAAATGGCACCTGCAACTCGAAACCAGGCACAGCAAGGCTGAGTCTCCCACTCAGTGAGTCCCCAGGGCAGTGAAGGAGCAGTATGGAGGCTCTGTGTGCTGGGAAGAGAAGGCAGGAGGGTTTTGCATTGTAGGGAATATGTTTGGCTGTAACCTCAATGCAGGGGCTTTAACAAGTGAGGGATAAAATCACGTCAATAGTTCAGTTTAATAGCACTAAAGACTCCCAGATCTCACAACAGTCCCAAGGAGTAACAAGTCAAGGAGCATATGAGGGGACGAGGGACACATCATTCGCTCAAACTGTATCTGAACACCAGTCCTGCCATTTCCTACAAGATACCTGCTCTGAGCCTTGCAAACATATAACTGTTTTGGGGTTGTTCCTGCTAGGTTTTCACATAGAGATGAGTGCTAAGGTGGGAGTCATGTCCCTGTGCATCTCACAAAGCCTCCCAAAGAGCACCTCATCAGCCTGTTAGCTGCCTGTGGAACCTTCATTCCCGTTCAGGCCCTGAGCTGGATACCTAAAGCCTGTGAGTGTGAGCACCTTCATGTTCCCATTATGCACTGGCAGCACTTGCAGGGAAGCTGCGACAACGTGCTCGGGTTGGTCAGGCACAGGTAGCATCCTCCTGTGCTAGTTAGAGACTCAGCCTGGCGTTCAGCCTTAAACGCCGGCGCTCACCCCCAGCCCAGCCTGCCAGAGCTGGCAGCTACTCCTGGGCTCTGAAGGCACATGAGAAGGAACCATTTTCTGCACAGAGCACAACCAGAAACCCACCGAGTGGAAAGAGATCTCTTGCAGGCTTCAAAGAATACCTGCAGTTCTGTCTTAGGCACAGTGAGAGTCTGTAGCTGAGCAGTTAAACTTCAGGGTTTTTTTTTTCTCTCTTTCTCCTAGTACACCACACTTATTTTGCATAAACAGCTGTTAATTCCTCTGCCTCATTCACAAGCACTTGGTGCTTTTTATTGCAGGACACTAATACAGCACTACCTGTGGTTTGTTCAGAATCTTTTCACTTTTAGTCTGGCCATGGACAAGGTTCTTTGGTCACGGCCTCCAGAATCAAATATACAGCTGCATCTGACAAGAACAGTATGAGCAGTTTCTTGTATTTTTGATTTTAGCCTGCTTTCATTTCAGGAGCAGAATTATGCAGAGTAAAGAGATTTGAGTTTGGTCTTTCTATGCTGGGAACTTTTTGCTATTCTTATCTAGAAATAGTCACTTACTGTCAGAATTTGCACAGAAGTTCAGATTTATTGGTGCATAAACATTGGAAACATGATTGAAGTAAGGAAGCTTGATGAAGAAAGGTTTGTACCACGTGCCTTAACTGAGTGATTTAAAGACTCTTGTCTAAAGTTCACTGAAATCATTGCTGACTAAATAACAAACATCTTTATTTTGTCACACACACACAATGCTTACAATTAAGAAAGTCTTCCTATCCCCTGAACTGCTGCTTTATTTCACAAAAAATCTGCCTTTTCACCCCATGTGTTTTCCTCCTCTACCAAGCTAGAACTGCTGCCTAAACTCCACTGGAATTCATGAAGGCTTTTTTCCTTCTAGAACTGAACTTGACAGTTTTCCTAGTTGGTAAACTACATTTGCCAAGCTCTTCACAAATACTTACCTTCAGTGATGGTTTGGAGACAGCAGGTTTGTGTGGGCTCTCCTGTCACACTGCTGTAGCAAGAGTTTATGTGGAGCAAATGTAAGCTGCTTGAACCGTTTCCCTCCCTCATCCTGGGGTTTGTTTTTGCAGTGCCCTGTGCTGTGAGGCACCAGTGTGCTATTTTTGCCATTTTACTGGTGGCCATTTGATGTTCCTGACTTGCTCAGTGTTGCAGGCAATATTTGAGCTCAACCCAAATACTCCATGGCCCAACCTTTGAGGTGTGTTTTTAACCAGTCATCAAAAGATTGAAATCCTTTCGCCAGGAGGTTCAAAGTAGCCACTTCAAGAAAAGCTCCATGCTTCAAATAAATGCATTGCAATTATTAGCCACAAGCTGTTCCCTGAAATTCAGGCATACTGAAATCACCTATGGGTCTGCAGAACTGAGATGCTGATTTTAGGAGTCATATCAGTGGGCTGGCTTGCCTTCTGAGCCCTCAGCTAGAGAGGTGTGCATATAAAATCATCCAAAAATAAGCATACACTGCTTTAGAAAAGGTGACATAAATTGCACTGCAGACACACAGGCACAGAAATAGCTCCTGGAGCTGGATGACCCTGCCTGGAACAAAACACCCGAGTCTGACCAGCCAGTGAAAACATAACATCCTTAGCCTCCTGACCTGCCTTTAAAAATACCTTGGAAACATTTTGTTGATCTATAAAAGAATAACAGAGCATCTAACACCTAGGAGTTATTGATATCCTTACTGAAATTAGGCACCTCTAACCTAGTGGCTAACCTAATATAACACATAAAACTCCTTGCCAGGTACTCCCAGAGCCTGTGGGGACTGTCCTGCTTTGCCTGCAGTGAGTATTAACCACTAATTAATATACAAAATGACAGCAAACAATTATGAAGAAACAGAATAAATAAAATCTATGGATCCCTCTATGAAAAATAAATATCCAGAGCCTACTACTCCTGTGAAAACACAGCACTGCAACCTGTTGACCCAGTCAGGGAAGTGTTTAAAAATTCACATCACTCCTATGTAACGTCTCTTTTCTGCAAAACTGAAATTCTGGGCTGGAGGAGGGACCTTTTAACAAGGGTAAATCAGCTCTTCCTACGGAAATATTCCATGGCATCTGTGATGCCACGCAAGTGAAGTAATTTAAAGAAATTAATGTTTATACTTCTAAGTTCTTTTCATGACCAAAATATCCACTGTTCCCTCTCCACTTTCATCAGTTATGAAACTGAAACTACTCACTTGCAAAAATTATTCCCTGTGTGTAAAACCACAAATACTCCAAATATAATTGGGCTCTGAAAATTTGTATGGGATGGAAATAGCAGCCAGTCTTGTATTAACTGGACTAAAACTTAAATGATCTCCTGTGGGTACTGTGAAAGCCTTTCTGAATGTGGCAGAGAGTGTAGGGAGGAGCATCTTGTACAAAACAGGTTCCTAGAGGTGCCTGTGTCTCCAAGGGGAAAGCTGTCACTTTAAATCATCTGGAAACTGAGTTAGCACATACTGATGGAGATTAGCTGTCATTAAGAAAGATACCATCAAGGCTTGAAATGCAGGGAAATTAGAGATATGAATTGTCTTCCTTCAAATTAGCTCAAGAAGGGTAGAAAAAAGAAAAGGTGTTTCCATTAGAAAGGTACTTTTCCAACAGCAGAGAACGTAGATATGCACTGAGCTCATCAGTCTTCATTTAGTTTCCTTTCTAAAGTGCAAACTGAGGTTTGCTTCAACAAAAACAAAGAGCTGCACCACAGCATCATTAGGGACTCAACCATAAATTGGTTGTTTTGAGCACCAGTTTGCACAAGTTTGCTTTGGCCAGGTGGTAGGTTTCCTTACACTTACCCTTTGCACAACACTTAGAACAGAGGTGCTGTATCAGGTAACCCTGTCTTGTCTTGGGAGGCACTTGGACTGCCTCTCAATGACTGCATCAAGCTTAAAATCGCTGCAAGTGAAGCTGTGTGTGGCCATGCATCACTTGTGGGTTGGATGTCGCACTCACTGTCCCCTCCCTCTTTCCCATTTCCACGTGCTCAGTGCAGGTTTTTATACCTATTTCAGTGCCTCTGGCCCATATGTCAGCCCTGTGTGAGTTGCAGGGCTAACACACAAGGTTGTAGCAGCTTTAGCTTAGCATTAGGTTACTGAGCAGAGAGGAGAACAGGGAGCTTTAAATTAACCCCCTTCCCTTGGTCCCCAAGCCTGCACCATGCCAGCCAAGAGACAGGTAAGGAAAGCACAGCCCTCAGGACAGGAGGCATCTCTGTGCCTGCTGCATGGTAAAGATCTAAGCACTGTGCTATTAGCAGAGACAAAGAGAATGCCAGTGTCAGGCACGATAAGGTTTGGCCGACACTGTACTCTTGAAGATCAACACCACTCCAGGCATTCAGCTTTATAACCTCAGTATCCCATTATCCTCCTGAAATCTGATACCATTTAGTAGCCAAAGGCAAAAAACTAAACCCTTAACCTCAAGATTTACAGATCCTAACACAACAGGCTCTGAACTTGGTAAGGGTCCCTCGAGCCTGCTACTTTCATACAGCTAATAATTTAATAAAAGCTGCCTGCAACTGCCCATTTTTTGCCTGCAGAAACAGTTGGAGAAACCATTGGCTTCTGTAACTTTTTCCCCTTTTTTTCTTTCTTTTGGGTAACAGCTGTTTGGCAGAACAGAGATGAGGGACTGGATTTTCTCCAGGATCATGACCCAGAGCTGATCAAAGAAGAGATGCGGGAAGAAGTGGAAGAAGAGATCAGAGTACAGGTGTGCTTACAATAGGAAGAGGACACTAATCATGTGCATTACCTGTGTATAGTTTTCAGCAGCTGTAGGAACTGGCCCTGGCATAGACCTTCCCTCCTTTCAGAATCCCTACTACCTGTTCTTTGCTTCAACACTTGTTTAGCTGAACATTTGTCTGAGGTGAGGTGGCAGAACAGAACACTGAGGGAGATTCAACTGTGTTTGTCTGGACAGGTTGATGAATTGATGGAGCAGAAACTGGAGAATCTCAGATTGGCTGTGGATGGAGAGATAAGCGGCAATCAGAAACAAGGTGGAAAAAGTAAAAAGGTAAGAGCTGCAAGTTGGGAGAACTTCGGGTCAGTTTCAATTCTCTGCCCAGATACAGTGGTGTTCAGTACAAACCCTCTCAGACACCAATCTCAAAACATCCATCCTGAGCATTTAGTGAATCTCAAGGCAGAAACACTTAGAAATCCATTTACCTGTGGCTTTATTCAGGGCCTTGTCCTTTAGCTATTATTGTTCCTTAACCTTTATATTGCTTAAGACATGTTGAACTATTCCAGAGATAAATCATTACAAGATAGATCAGGTTTTCACCCTTGAAATCCTCTGATGCAGTCAAACAAAAATCCAAGCAATCCCTCTCTTTAAGGTGACTAGTTCAGAATAACACTGTTCTCCAAGGAAGACATGAATCTGGAGTAGTAAGTTTTCCAGCTGCTGGCTGTTTTCTTCTTAAGTAAGGACTGGTTAATACGTTTCAGAACTGTACACCAAAAAAATTCCCTTTGAATGTTTTGGTGTAACCTCTCATGCATCTATAACCCCACATAGATCACATACAGCCAGGCACACATTATGTTACTACTTACTCGTGAAGGGTTTGGAAATTTGCAATTAAGCCAAGTCTGTTTAGGCACGTAAAATAGGCTAAACCCACCGAAACACAGCACATGTCATGTTCACCTCTAGTTTCACAGCATCACTATTTGAAGAATTCCACAGCTCATGGCTCCCTGAATTCCTTGCCCAAGCATTTAAACTACAGATCATGTCAGTGCCAAATAACTCCGAGCTTGCAGACCACACCAGCAAATCCACTTCAGATCCTCAGGGCAAATAGCCAGCCCTAATCTCATGTTGTATTTCATTTCTGTAATCCTTTTAGCATGCAAATACTTGCTGTTGCTCTACTTCTACTCAAATTATCTTTTAAAATGCTCCTTCACCTGACAAACATGCAGGGACAGTCTAATAATAACAGACTCTGAAAACTGATACCAGTTGGATTCCTAAATCTGTTTCAAAAATAGAGAGGCTTAAGATATACAGACAGAATATTGCAACCATTTTCACAGAGCTGTCATGGGCAGATGTATTTAGCTGGTCAGTGCTTGCTTTAAAATGTCACAATGAAATTATAAAGCTTTATCCTAGGTGTGGGGTTGGGGTTTTTTCTTCCCTTCAATATAGAGTTGGAGTAGATTAGGGTGTAGGGAGATTATTTAACTTTTGTTTTGCCAAACTGTGCCAGTAGCCTGAGAGAATGGGGGGGTGGGGCAGGGAAGAGTATTAGAAATACTACTTAGATAATAAAAATTCCTTAAAGATTTTATCTGGAAAAACCCCACCCAAACCAAAACAGTTCTGTTTGAGGAGTGGGGAATGGAGGGAGGGATCCAGTGTTATCCAAAACACCTTCCCTGTGCAAAACTATTCAAAATGTTCAATTGGCAAAGGCTTTTTCTAATTAGTATTTGCATAAGTATCTCAGTCATAAACCAGCCCAGTGTGTGCATACCTGCGCACACAGACTGCAGATCTGCAGTAGTTTCAAGTTGTTTTCAATCCTTGTTTTAAGGAGAGATTTCTTTGCTGGAAAACACCACAGTAGATCTAGGGCTTTCTTTGGCAGGAAATAGTCACTCCTGGGGTAGATGTCCTCTGCCTTTTCGAGCACACCTTAAAGTAAATAGTTTTCAACTCTGAACGTTTCTATCAAGGCCATATTAAAAAGATCAAACCTGCCTGACCCATGGGAAATAATTGGAGTTTGAAATCCTGTTTGAAAGTCCCTTTTGTGGAGAATGCAGAGAGGACATTTTGGAATTGGACTCTAAAGGAAATCACGAGGAAGGTAGTTGCTCCCTTCCAGTCAGTGTTTCAGACTCTCAGCTCCTAGGATAAACAAAATTTAACAGCTCCAGGCGTACATACTGCTGTCCTAGGGCTCCTATGTCCTCATGCCCAGGCCACTCCCATATTTCCATGCACTGTACTTTCTAGGCTGAATTTTATCACTGACTCTCAAACCTTCAAACATCCCTTAGTGCTAAAAGCTGACACTTTAACCCTACCAAGAGCTGCTCTTACTGCTCCTGAAGATAAAAATTCCCATTTGCCATCTTTGTGGACAAACAAACTTGGGTGAAAAGGCAAATTGCTCTTCTCATGACAAGTGAGTCTCAGACCCAAATACCAGAACTAGTTAGGTTGTACCTGATAGGTAACAGGCCACACTGCTGTCCTTTGGGGTACAGCTCCTTTGCCTCTCCCTGTGTTGGGAGCATCCCACCCCACACACTGTCCCACCCCTATGGCCCAGCATTGACAGGTCCTCATTAGGAGCCACACTGTGCTGAGCACTGACTCTTCCAGGTAGCTCCTGAGCTAATGACTGTCACAGGAGAGGGGATGAGGATATGCAGGAACAAACAAACGTGATTCTGCTGCAAACAGAATTTTTCTTTGCTGGGCACAGTGGCAGTGTCACCTGCCCAGACACAGACCAGCAGGCTGGGACTGAAATCACTTGTGTAAGGGCAGGCTGAGGAAAGACCTGAAGGGAGATTACTTCCTGGGGAGGAACATGTCTGTAACTGGCCTGGAAGTTAAACTTAACAGCTTACCAGAGTGCTTGTTATCAGGCCTATTGTGCAGCTTTTCTTGCTCTGGTCCCCCAAGGATTTATTTCTGATCCCGCTGCAGGTAAAGCAATACATTGGAAATAAACACACCCACACATACACAAGGACATGGCCAGAACTCAGAAAAACCACACCAAAGAAACAGAAAGAGGGGGCATAGGAACCCAAGTGTGTAAAAGTTGCTTCTGACATAGGCCTTGAAGCTGTGCAGAAGCACAGAAACCCATAAGATGTACAGACTTAGCAAAGCCATAGAGAGTCAATCCAGAAGATAGGCTGGGTCAGACCAGGTTTGAGGACAGTCATTCCCAAGCCCTGATGGGTTTTCTGTAGCTGGTGCAGATGAGCACTCAGAGCTCTCAGCTAGCTGAGGAGGCTGTAGCCTCTCTGGATGCTGTACCTAAATCCCACAGGGATTACAAATGACAGTCCCCTGTTTACCTGGATCTTAATAACCAGCAGGAACATCTTTGTCTAAGGACTTGTTCAGTACAAGTGTCAGAAGCTGCTTGTTTTATCTCAGCATTGCCAGAAAGGACTTCTCAACCCATGCACCGTGCAAATCCACACTTGCTCAACCTCTCATCTGTGCATCACGCAGGATCCAAGGAATCCACTAAAAAAACCTGCGTACACTGCTGCTTAAACCACAGGAGTACTTTCCTCTTGTTACACAAGGGAGCCTATATGAAACATGATGAGGCACTTTTTACAAGAGCATGTAGGGACAAGGGGGAATGGCTGTAAAACAGTAGGTTTAGAGAGGAGTAAAAATTCTTTACTGTGAGGGTGGTGAGGCACTGGCACAGGTTGCCCAGAGAAGTTGTGGAAGTGTTCCAGGCCAGGCTGGATGGAGCTCTAAGCAGCCTGGTCTAGTGAAGGGTGTCCCTGCCCATGGCAGGGAGTGGAATGAGATGGGCTTTGAGGTCCCTTCCAACCCAAACTGTTCTATGATCCTATGATCCTTGGTGGCAGTAGCTGCAGACAGCTAATGGCAGCAGGACTTGTGTGATCACAGCCAAAGGACAATACAGATCCTTCAGTTCCAACATGGAACAATTTCCCCTCAGTGAGACGTTTTGGCCTCTCCCTCCTGATGCCATTCCAGAAGCTGAGTTTGCTCTGGAATCAAGTCTGAAACCAGGCCTTGTTTGCTCGTAGCAACTTCTGAGCTTCCCAAAACACTTTCTTGAGCCCACACAGCAAGACAAGACACCACACTGAGCATGGGAGAGTCTTCTGCCACCTGCCAGCTAATGCAGGTCACTACGTGGGACTTAGCAAAGCAGAAAATAGCCGAGCCAACCGACATCTACACAGAAGCTTGACTGACATTTCAGAGAGAGAAAGCAGGAGATGTCCATTATAAATGATGAGCATGTTCACATTCATTAAATATTATCCTTTCCTAAATAAAAGTCATTCCCAATAAGACACTTTGGAGCCAAGCAACTGTCTACAATTCCTATTTCCCCTTATCACATCTCAGCCTTTGCCAAATTTTCCACAAACGTTGATGTTAATTAGGAAAACACATTTGCCCCCTGCATAATTCATTTTTGTTTTGCTCTTGAGTTACTTTATTGGTGAAACCGCCTTGAGAATAATACCAGTTGGCCAATAAATTTGACATATGCTGTGTCTTTACATAGGTAGAAATGAATTTTTCTTCCCAGTCAGACCCCAGGATATGTCATTTCTGGCTTGTTAGGAGGAAGGTTAAAAAGACAAAGCTGTGGAACAGCAAAAATAAAGCAGTGACAGTCTCAATATTTCCTCAGTTGTTTCAACAGCATGGCATATGCTTTCTTCTTCCCATTCCTTCAAGACAAAATCCCACTGGCACAATCTGATGAGATTTTTGCTGCCAAACTTATTTTTGCAAAGAAGCCAAAGGTGTAGTTCTGCAAACACAGAGCTATTTGCATTATTCTAACCCAAAACTCAAAACCATCCCCTTTTCCCCATTAGTTTACCCATACAGTGCTGGGGTTTAGGTTACATTTTCATCTGGATTAAATTTGTGGCATAGAAAACAGTAACAGGTGATTGAACCACAGGTTATTTACATTGTGACAGTCCTTGAAAACTTAAAACTGATCTATTTCTGAAGGCTGATGATCCATTCTGTAAAAATCCCAGCATTTTCCAGACAATTGGATAGGATTTTTTAACTCAACAGCACAGCCTCTAGAGCTCTGCAGAAGTACTCACTATATAAAAAAAGGAAGTAAATGACTGTATTCCCAGGAAAGCACACATAAACTTTTGGAAAGAATAAACTGTCTTGTTCAACTAAGCATTTAAGCACATGCTTAAATTTAAGCTGTTGAAGAAATCCCACGGGGCACAAATACTGCTGTGCAAATAGTTCCACTGAAGGAATTCTGAGGTGCTTTGCAGAACTGAGGTATGAACACTGATGGTGGGTGAGCACTAACGTTGGTTAATTGTACCCTCTCCTCTACTAATTATCCCTAACAGCAGTTAAGTCTTGTGAGCTGTCATTAATAGAGGGCCCTGTGAGTCCTGAGTTACATCTTTCTTACCTATGAGGTTTTTTGCAATATGTAAAGTCACTTGTCACACTAGTCAAAAATCTTTCCATGGTGAAAGTGTGGTGAAAGTATGAGAAAAGCAGGTTATGTTTTTCTGACCTCTCCAAGCTTCTTCCTGTAAGCATTAGGAAAGAGAAGGCAGGAGGATGTGTAATGGTTAGGAGGGGGAGGGCAGCCAGTGTCTCAGGAGGTTTTCCCCTCAGGGAAGGTGCTTATACATTTTGCTTCCATATACAATGAAAAAGCAAGCACAAACAGTCTCTGGAGCAGCTACTTGTACCCCACACCCTTTTCCTTCCTGCTTCCTTCTTGGGCCATATGACCTCACCCAGAGCTGTGCTTCAGAAAGAGTCATAGAATAAGAATCACAGAATCATTAGGGCTGGAAAAGCCCTCTCAGCTCATCGAGTCCAACCATTCTCCCACTACTGCCAAGACCACCACTAACCCATGTCCCCACGTGCCTTATCTACATGATTTTTAAATCTCCCTAGGCATGGTGACTCAACCACTGCCCTGGGCAGCTGTGCCAGTGCCCGACTACCCTTTCAGTAAAAGAATTTTGCCTGATACCCAATCAAAAGGAAGGAGAGAAGATCTTTCCCTTGAGCAAAATGGCCCTGAGATGCTTCCCTGTGTCACCACCTTCACTGGAAGGAGTGGGACTGCTGTTCAAGGATATGATTTTTGCTTTTGGGTTCCCTCAGTAACAAGAGCCACATTAGAATACTGAAACATTGGCTGTTCTGGCCCTCATTTTGCTTCAGAACATTCAAACATAAATGTCTGTGTTAAGGTCACTAATTCCTGCCTGGTTTTGTCCTCAGATAAGTAAGACAACAGGGAAGAAAAAGATATCTGAGATGGAGAAAGATCTAACTCCTGACAGGTAAAGAGAGAACCTGTTTGCCTTAGATTTGCTAGCAGACTTGTTTGTCCTCATCTTCAGCAACACTTACAAAGTAAAATCCCAACTCTGCAACAACACAGCACAAGGATCAGTATCCATTAACTTCAGACAGGTTAATTCCAGTTTGCAGAGCTAAGCACATGTGACATTTAGGCAGGATGTTGACCCTGTGTGCCTTTCCCATCCTCTGCAGGTGCAGAAGCACCTGGCAATTTTGTTGGTTGTCAGATTTTCCATCCCAGCTGGAGCCTGATAAGGGAGGCTGCAGCCAGACCCTTGTTCTCTGTAAATCATCCTCTATGGCTGAGGTACAGTGCATGTGTCATAAATCAGGCTTATTTATCAATCAGAGTTCTGGCAGATCTGGCCATTCCTTGGGTACCCTTGCTCTTTTAAGCACCTGTATTTTATTTAGAGGATTTGAGAGGATTTCTTCCTTTGACGTGACATTTTCAGGGAGTTTGTGATGCACTCACTGATAGTGCAGCCATTTTTCACCTGTACACATCATACAGACACCTACACAGAGACGTTACCGCTGAGATCTGCTGCCCCAGTGACAGCACAGGGCAAAAGTAGAGCCAGCTCCCAGGAGAGCAGGGCTGGAGAACAGCAGAAAGACAAACACATTCACTGCAAGAGAGAGCCCATGGGGTTCACCCCACAAATCCATTCATACGGCACACACAGCAAGGCCTGGACTGGATCATTTGTGTGCTAGCACTGCACAACCAGTCAGTGATCTCTTTACCTACTTCAAAATAAAAAACCTCTCCAAGCAAATATTTAAAATGCATGTCAGATGGATTCTAACAGCATGAGCTCTCTTAAAGCACGGTGCCAAAGTCCAACAAGGATGCATATATTCTGTGCTTTGAAAATTACTCTTGCACATTCTGCTTTTTCATATATAAACTTAACATACAGCCAGTTTAAAACATAAGCATTTTAGTAGCTGACTTCCAGTCAGAGTTTATCTGGCATTTTGGCTCCATGCTTTGATCTTCCCTGCTGAGCATTTCAGGAAGAACCAAGAGAAGCTCGTGTTCATCTCCATTTTGGCGCAGTGGGAGAAGCACATGGGACTTGGGTCAACAAAGAGTGGTCACATCACATGTACTTGGAGGAGACACAGGCCATGCATCATTAAACTTGCAAAGTAAAAACAATAAGACGGGAGAAGTCAAAGCCATGCTCCCAACAGAACTGCCAGGTTAGTCCCATTCTACCTGGTTTATGATGCATTCCCAACATAAAACCACTGAGAATGGAAGCAAAAGTCAGAGCAGCAAAATCAACGTTGTTGAAGGTGCTTTAAATTTTGGATTTGCTTATTAGTACTTCTATATTAATTGAGCCACTAACACTGCATAAACATAAAACTTCTCAGATGAAATGGAAAAAAAACCTGCAGACCTCAAATTATACCTGTAGCTTTATTAGCCAGCTGAGAGGCACTATTAAATATTTTTATTGTAGCTGTACAAGGATATCCCAGTTAAGATAGGTGACACAAAAAGGCTCAGATATTGAGGGAAAATGATGTGAAAAGTACACAAAAACAGTGAAAGCCCTAAAAAGAGTCAAGTCAATATCGTTTATGCTGACAGTACACCAAGAATTTCCAACAGGCTTATCCATTTTATGTCATCCTTGAAGCAGTGTCAATCTGTAGAACCTAGTGCGAAAAACGTCATTGAAATGGATGCTTAGAACTCCAAAAGAGAGTGTGGAGAACAGCCCCACCAATAGAAAACCACACACAAATGGAAGTGTATTAAATCCTCAATTACTGGGAGCTACTTCCAGCTACTAATGGAGAGAGAAAGGAACCATTCCCCTGGAGAAATTTTGTCCATCTCATAGAATGTCAGAAGGGTTTGGGTTGGAAGAGACCCTAAAGTTCATCTCATTCCACCCCCCTGCCATGGGCAGGGACACCTTCTACTAGCCCAGGTTGCTCCAAACCCCATCCAGCCTGGCCTGGAACACTTCCAGGGATGCGAAACAGTTCCACTGTGTGGTTTTCCCCAGCCTCCCTTGGCCAGTATGACCACAACACTGTGAACCACTTGTTGCTCTGGTCAGGTCATTCCCTGCATGTTCCTGAAGAGATGAGACTGTCTGTTGCAAATACAGTAAATTCCAAGAAGAATTAATGAATTACTACTAATTGGAGAGCTAAGTGAATAGTTACAGTAGTGTTAGGATTGCTGTTATTGTATCATTTAAAAATAATTTCCCAGTAATTGATATTAATGAATGAGTCTATTACACAAGTCATAACTGATCTGGCATCACCTGAAGTGGGTAAATGGAGTCAGCAGGAGGGGGAGAGGCTGTGTGTGGGTAATACAAGAGGCTCCTTTCTATGATGCACAGAGTGGCACGTATTGATTCTATATTGATGGCACTAATCACCTTTACCTCTGAGCTACAAAGCACATTTATAAAGCTGAGGAAGCATAAATAACTCTCACACTGGTTCATTTGAGGGAGAACTGAGCTTTTACTTACAGTGCCCTACAGTTTCTGAGTGATGTCTCTTGCCCACAGGAGCATTGATTCCCTGTACAAGGAACTTGCAGAAGAAGGATTATTAATCAAAGCCCAGGCCGTGCATCTCTCCAGTTATATTGGTAAAGCACACCTTTTGTCACTAACCCGGTGTTTGGTCTAGCCAAACTCCAGCCATTCCATGCTCACTGACCCCTGTTTCCAGTCAAGAGTGACTTACACTTTCAGGACCTTCAGACTTAAATATCTAAAGCCACATAGGCAAATCAAGTCTGTTTCTGCAGGATGCTTAGTACCTTTCACTTCAGCTACTGCAACTAGGACCTGTTTGTAAGGCTGATGCTTAGCTCCAGGTACTAACACCTGGAAGCCTTCAATGGTTTTGGATGTTGCAAACCACCCCAAGGAAGAACCAGAACATCCTTTAAGGAGCCCTTGCCAGGCACTGGCAATGCAGTACAAGTCTAACAGGCTAGGGGTCCTAATCCATCCAGAGTATTTCCCAGAAAAAAGCAAAAATCATACCTTCAGCTTTTGTTCATTCAGCAGAAGACTCACCCGCTTCCCTCCACCTCCCTCACTGCCCGTGAACTTTGAACACTGCTTTGAGTTGAGTGAGATGTGTCTCTGCCTAGTTCTGCATTTCACAGGCCTCTTGCCTGGTTTCTGTTACCTGCAGCTGCAGCCAGATATGCTTGGCTATGCACTACTCAGAAAAAAAAGTGGCAAAAACCTCCACATTTTCAGACTGCAGAGGGGTCTGACACCATCTCCAAAAGCATTTGGTGACATACAGTAAAATCACATCAACCTTAGCAGCAAAAAGCCCAAGATTTGATTGTTTCAAAGGCTATCATTTGAATTTGCAGCTATCCAGAAGCAGCAATACCACTGGCTGTTAGTACCACATGTGCCTGAGTCAAAAACTCCAGGTTCTCTTACATATCCTCTAAATGCCATGTTTATATAAACTCAGAAGGATCAGTTGAGCCTTCAGAGCCTTTGCCCACTTTGCTGAAGGCTGAACTAACAAGGATCTCATCCATTTTATGCTCATTAAACATCATGAAGTAAAATAAAGGAAAATTCTCATTATTCCTTTGTTCACCCAACCAGCACCATCAAAAGTGACCATCAAGGTCACTTTTGGCCAACAAACATTCCCCATCACAGATGTTTTGAAACAGCACATCTTGCTGTTAATAATAATTAACAGCTGGTAACATCCAACTTGGGAACAGGCTGAGATGGCTCTGGGCCATCTTCCCTTGACCCTGAAGTTTGAAGCCTTGGCTCCTCTGCAGCACAGAGCAACACAAGGACTGCTCCAAGTTATCCTAGCAATATTCACCTCCCAAAAGAAGATTCTGGGCACAAAGTGCAGAGTCTAACAACAGTCAGCTGGCTGCCTACACCTGCCCAGACTGCCAGAGCCAGCTCTTTCCCACTCAAAACTCACTCGTGCTTCCTGAGCTGCCACAACAGATACAGAAGGTATTTAAAGCTGGCCTAGAATCATTTTTTTAAATCCAAAAGAACTCCCTTTAAGGGTCCAAGGACACAGTCAAAGCCTGCAGAGAAGTAAGTCTTCATCTACTCAGCCTTACAGGGCTGAAGCCTAAGGAAGGTCACTTCCTCCTAGTTGTTGGGGAAAGGACAAAGAGTGAAATTGTGCAGCTAGAAAAGGCGCTGAAATGTCCCCCCCTCCATGACAAACTGACGTCACTGAACTAATTTTCTTGGTGACCTTATCTAAATTAGTCAGAGAATATCCACTGTGATTTATGTTCAGCTGCAATTAAACCCTTTGATGCCTTCTAATTAAATCCATGAAGATTAATTCCTATCCAGTTCTTTTGATTTCTCCTTAAATAAAAGATAAAACCTGAAATGAATTTGATTCTTCAGAGGGGAGGGTGCAGTTGCACCAGGGCTACTCTGCCTTTTTGCCCCCAGAGTATACCTCCACTTTCTGTCTTAACCACTGCTGATTTACCTCTGCTCCGGAGAACCCCAGCCCTGTCCCTTTTTGTCTCCAACAAAACATAGTATACTGTTATTTGTCAATATTTGCCATAATGACATGTAATTTATGCTAAAAACAATCACTGACTACATCACAACTAGTTTTCCTGCTTGTGGCACATCCTACTGAGTTTTTGCTCTCTAACAATGTTTGTATATGGACTTTGACAGGGCAAGCAATGTGATTATAGCTCTGTCAAGAGAGCCAAGGCAAGATTAAATCATTTCAGTTCACATCAGGGATTTTTGGTTTTCTTGGGTTGTTTTGTGGAGGTTTTTTTGAACAAAAAAAAAAAAAGTGAACTGCAAAGCAAAGAGCACCACCCGATTAGGTGACACACTCAAACATCTAACATGGCAAGGAGCTGAGATGGGATGCAGCCAGAGGAAAGCTTGTTAAAATAGCTTTTCCTCCTTTATGAAAACCTTTTAAGAGAGTGTGGTTCGCTGGGATTCCAGCCCTGCAAAATCCCAAACCCAGAAATCCTTTCCAACAGTGTGATTTATGGTGCTACTAATGATTCTTCTTCGTGAAGTTTCTTTTAGAAGTTTCTGGAGACCAACTGCTCTGCTGAATGCCTTCCACAGACTGGGAGAGAGAGTCCAGTGTGTGTAAGCTAAATTTTCCTTTGTATTTCAGCTTTCTAGGGACCACATTGCACAATCACCTTGCCCTGTTTGAATCACTGTCCCTCGACAGACTTAGGTTTGCTGAGAGCATGTTGGATTGGTGTTCTAGGGTAATTTTTCATTCCTTGAGTCATGCATTTTGTAACCACGCAGTGTCACGTTTGTGAAACCCCTGCTCCCTCCCTCCAGGCAAGTACGGCTGTGTAAGGACCATCCTTCCACGGACAGGACAGCCCGTGCCCTCTCTTGCCGACGTCAGACAGCTCACGGCCCTCTATGGAATATTGCCCTTAGGTGAGAACACAGCAAACATTCCTAGAGGGCAAAACACGATGGCTTTGCATCCTGACAGAAATGTGCACTTTCACTGGCTCAGACAGGGCTTGATTAGTCGTAATCTAGAGCATTTTGCAGTCTAATTGTTTTTCAGTTAAGCCTTCTGAGTGCTATCATTTAAACGGTGCATAAAGGAGTGTGCACATGCTCTGGTCAGGCACTGCTCTCCATCCCATCTCTGTTTGCATGGTAACTGTTTGTGAATGGCAACGCATAAAAGGAAACCACTTGGGAAAGATAATAGCTAAAACAAGCTCCAGTGATCAAAATTAATCAAGTTAAGGGAAGGGCTAAGGTTGCAATTTACCTTTTACAAGCTGGCTAAGGTTACTCAGTGCTGCACAATGCAGTCATTTAAGGAATTAGTCTGGATACATTTTGTACAGCACAGAGGACACTTGGAAATGCCCTTGTAGTTTTAATGCCAGACTTAGCCAATATCTAACCAGGCTTTGTTGAGTCAGGTTGTTTGTTTTTCATGCAAAATCTATCCCATATTTAACTTGGGAATGGCATTAAGCTAAACTCTAGTGATTGCAAGAAGTGCCTGTCTCAAGGGCCTCTGCTCATACATTCACTTGCATCCTTTTCCATTCCTGGTTGGATCTTGGGGAGATTTTAACTCGGCATATCCTCCCCCAGGCTGTGACTGCTGATTCCCTTTGGGGGGCAAATCAGCCTATGTCTCTCCCTGCCTCCCACTCTGGCAAACAGAGCAAAGCTGACACAGCTTTTGCTTTTCCCTCCACTGCACACCCTCCAGAAAGGCCACTGCTCAGGCAGTTGTGTACATACATGTTCTGTGGCTCTCCTCAGGCATTCCCTGTCTCCCCATCCCCCAAGCAGGCTCACTGTCCTGGAAAGCTTGGAGCAATAGCATGCAGCTCTGTTTCCTTCAGATTTTAGGTGGAGAAGAGTGCTCCTGTTGTCCTGCAGCTCTGTCTGAAAAGCCAAGCTAACACAAACAGGATTTTAAAAGCAGCTTTCTTCAACCTAGGTAGTGTTCTTCCCACCTCAAACAGCCTCAGCTGGTTTTGCAAAAGCCCTCAGAGGTTGGCTGCAAGTGTGACTGAGCAGCTGGGTGAGCTCAGCAGCTATCCCTGTCTGCACAGTGCAGTGTGGTATCTCACATGTCCCACAACTCCTCCAAGGTTACATTACAGCACCACCCTAATCTAGGGAAATCAGGCCCCGAGACATCCTCGACCTGGAGGAAAAAGAACCCATAATTTTCTGCCATTGATATATTTGACAGAGATACTGGGGAGAGGAAAGGAGACCCTGGATTACCAAAACAAAAACTATTTGCAAATAGCAGTTTGAAAAATGCTTTTGAGTGAAAAAAAGATATTGCACGAGCCAAAAAAAAGGTATAGGAATGGTCTCACCTTTGGGGTGATATGTCATGGATAAAATTTTACTTAACTGGCCTCCAAACTAGTTCATCATTCTATAATTGTGTATTGTAGAAGTGAAAGTTTTTCCCAAAATAGTAACCTGCTGGGAAGGAAAGCCCCAGCTTAAATGGCATTCAGGAAATTATAAGCAGCTGAAAGGAGAAATAATAGTAGAAGATATACTTCATCTTTAACCACAGAGGAGTCTGCTCCTTCCCTCACAATCAATCTGTGTATAGTAGTAATAGATTGGTGTGGAATGACCAAATATTAATAAAGCCTGGGTGGCTGACAACTTCACTACATCCTGCACGACCTGAAACAATGGCATTCATCTCTGCACTGGGTCACTGTCATTTAGTTGGGATGTTAAACCATTAGAACACAGCCAGGCAGCCTGATTGGGTTTACCTGCCTGTCCCCCTTAGCTATAAGGGCTTTTGGAAAAGCACAGGCTGCCTCTGCAGCCTGTCTCTGGGGCCAGTTTCCCACAGACTGCTGGACACCAGTCTCAGAGACTGCCAGACGTAGTGGGTGCTCACACAGGTTTTCAAATATGTGTAACCATCACCACCACTGGTGACACAGGACATTTTTAGGCATTGAGGCGGTGATGTTCCTGGACTACGAGTGAGCATGGATAAAGGTTTTGACATTTCCTGCCACTTCCATCTCTGGAGGGTCACCTGTGCCTAATTCATACAGTGACAGCTGCAGGGAAGACAAGTTCCATCACCATCAACCACCTCAATCTGTCTGTGGTTGTGTTTTCCCAACACAAGCATTTCTGCTAGGCTTTCCCAGGTGATAGATCATACAGCCCAGGATGAATTTACCTGGAGCAGCCACAGAGACAGATTTAGAAATGCTGACCCGTCACTGCTGCAGGCAGAGCAAGTGGAGTACAGCAACCCAGGCACTCATGTTTGCTCACATGAATGAAATGAAGGAAACAGAATGATCCTCCTTCTCCTAACAGGTATATCATACCTGCTCTGAAGCATGCACCTGTCGTGTTCCAGACTAGGGAATGACATTGGCTCCTCTGCAGGTGTGATTAGGTGTGCTCAGAGAGGAGATCAACAGTGAAGGATTTGGGAGTACAACCAGCCTAAGTGACAGTCTCTGACACCCACTGAACAGCAGTAACATTGTTTTGTTCTGAAAGCAAACCAGTGAGAGACTCCAAGTCAGAAATACAATTTAATACAGAAACCAAAAAAACCCAAATGCAACAGTACAAAAAGAAACCACTGACAGAGTCAGAAAGCAACCTGACACCCTGTCAGTCAGGGTGTTGGTAGTAGTCCGATTAAATGGTGGCTGCAGTCGTCCTGGAGCGATGGGTCAGTTGGAGCAGTGATCCTGTAGATCTGGTCTTCACCTGAAGGCCAAGTGGTAGCTCTTGTCCTCTGGGAATCCAGTAGGTAAGGGCTCTCAGTGCTGGCCCAAAGCCCAGATTATATCCAGGTGGCAATGCTTGGCTCCTCCCCCTGGAGTGAAGCATCTCACAATGGGACATTGTACTTCTGTGGGTCATTCGATGGGTCCTTGACAGCCCATTAAACAGAGATAGCTTCCTGAGGGAGTTATCAGAGATGAGTCATGGTAGGAGATAGCCAGCACTGCCCCACCTGCTTTAAATAGCTTGTGAAGACGATAATAGAATACATACTATTGGTTGCACCCTACATTGTGACCTAGGCCAAACATGTAAGAGGAAAGGTTACCCCAAAAGGGAGTACAGGCAGAATTCAAAGGAGAGAAAATAAAAAACATGGTAACATCTAGTTTCAAAATAATTCTTTTAGTTCACATTGATTGAGAGCTGAAGTTTGCCTGTCAGAAGGTACAAATAAAGGTCTTGCTACAACCAGATCTGTACTCAGATCTGCTGGGGTCACAGCTCTGGTTATACAGAACTGAACTCCAGAGCACTCGTGCCACAGTAAGGAAACAATTAATTTACATTATAAATTATTTACGGTGAATAAAAAAAGGAAGAATCACTCCACCTTTATGGCAGACTTAAATGAAAGCAATCATAGTGCCATATGACTTTTTACAGGTTCCCAAATGGTCCACAAGATGGCTCCTTTAGTGAAATCCATGTTATTCACTGGACCTGCTGGTGTTGGAAAGAAAATGTTGGTCCATGCGATCTGCACAGAAACAGGAGCCAACCTCTTCAACTTATCTCCTTCCAACATTGCTGGGAAATTTCCAGACAAGGATGCCCTGCAAATGATGTTCCACATGGTCCTCAAGGTACTGTGCCTTGTGTCAGTCTCTGTAAAGTTGGTTCAGCTCATCATATCTTTTGCAAGACAGGCAGGGAATTGAACTGTAGTTTGGCCAGACCAAGGAGCATGCACACCAGTCATGAGCTGCCCAAGGTCCAAAGGATTGCCAGCCCAAATTGAAATTCCTCTCTGCCTGCAAGTGCTCAAAACATCAGGAGGAATTTCTTCACAGAAGGGGCTGTCAGGCACTGAGAGGTGCTGGAGTCACCATCCCTGGAGGTGTTCAGGAAACAACTGGATATGGCACTCAGTGCTCTGCTCTGGTTGACAAGGTGGAGATCAGTCACAGGTTGGACTCAGTCTCAGAGGTCTTTTCAACCTAAGTGATTCTGTGAAAACCGCTTGTTGACAGGGTATGCGCACCTCTGCAGAGGATTTAACACCCCTTGAGAAATCACTCAAAGCAGCCACATTTTTCACATTAATATTTATGTGAGGTTTGTGCTACCTTGACTATGAAAAGCATCAGAGATAAAGAAAATTCTGTTCACTGTTTATATGCACATCAGCCAGGAATGCTTGCCATGCAGCATTTAATCAAATGCTAGGCTGGGGGTGGTCAAATTTCCTCTCTGGGACCCTTGCTGCACAAGAGCTCTCTCCCCTGTACTGCTCTCTGTTTACCTATCAGCAAGCTTTTCAAAAGAAGGAATCCTAGTTCAGGATTACAGGAACAGAAACATATGAGAAATCTAGAAATGAAAGAAGGCATGTGAACTGTGAACAACATATACCAAATCCTCTTCAGAAAGAAAAAAAAAAAGACACTATCCTGGAAGGATTTCTTCCACATTCTAAGTCCTCAGCAGTTCTGCTATGGAAGGAAGCTGGTAAAGATTTCCAGACAAAATGCTGTTTGAAAGAAAAAACACAGCACATACACTAGGAAAAAGCCAGATGCAGTATTTTTCCAGTGCCAAAGGCCTACTAAAATTGGCTTTGCCTGGGATTTATCAGATGTACTTTATTAGATCCAGTTTTACAGCAGGTTTTGTGACAGGTATCTCCATCCTCAGCAAAAACCAGTTTCACAGCTAAGAACAAGGTGATCCCCAAGGGCTCTGGTGCTCACTGGTCAGAGCAGTGCCTAGGGAGGAGCAATGGTGCTGTGATCAGGCACCTTTGATGCTGTAACGCTAACACTGGACCTAGCACTCCCCAGCATGGGTTAGTGCCATTAGATTGGGCTAATACTCCCTCTGCTTTGCCTATTTCACCCTACTCCACTTAGTTTCTCAATGAACCTGCTGTTCTCACAGGCTTTGTGGGGTAATACAGAGAACAGAGCCAGACTTTTCCCAGAGGTGCCTTTATGGAGAGTCAGTCGAGCAGAACACAGACCTTCCACTTGGAGGTGTAAGTGAATGACAGGAAACATGACAGTTATCTTATGATCCATGTAACCACTATGAAACGCTAAGATTTAGTAAATAAGAATTAATGGTGCTCCGTGATAAAAGGTGAAGGCACCTTGCACTTTTGATTACCTATCCCATCTGCAAACAAAAGAGTTTCTGTAATGAAAAGAAACTCTGGAGTTTGACCACTAGGAAACTTTCCGTCCATGACTGAGTGTTGGCTGCTGGCAGTTGTTTTGTGGGAGACGCCCTGAACAAGTGAATAGCATTTGGAAAAAAATGAAACTTTAATTTGTTTCAGATGCAAGAGCCAAATTCCCTTTCCCCCCCCCCCTTGTTTTGGGGAGGTGATTTGCAAGAGACATAGCAGCCCCTACCCAAGGGAGGCTTGGTGCTACTCAGGGCAGGCATTTCAATGTCGTAAGGAGGAAATGACTTCTCCTACCAGAACAGGAACACACCAACGTTTCAGTCTCCCTATCCAAAGGAAATGTAAGGAAGATTGATACTGAATAGGAAAACTATTGAAAGAGGCTGCAAACACTAAGCCTAAGCTCTTGTGTTCCCCGTAAAGACACAGCAAAGCCTGCCAGGTCAGCTCTGCTTTAGAGTGAAAGGAGAGGATCTGTCTCATATAGAAGCATTTTCAAGCAGTCCCCAAAACAAAACTCATCCTTCCAGAATGAACCAGAATATGCTGGAATATTTATGTTAAGGCCCATTTCCCAGCCTGGACTCAGTGGAGCTCTCTGCCAGTTTGTTCCAGGCAGTGGTTTGGCTCTCTCTCATTCTCATCAAAGCATAAAACTGAAGTGCAATAGCTTATAGAAAAGATGCAAAGAAGTGCAGTGAAGGATGCACAGAAGCGAAAACAAATCCAGAAGGGATCGAGGAGAGAGGGTAAAATGCAGAGCTCCCTGATATAAAAGTGTAAAACTGCAGGTAGTTCACAAGTCTCAACTCCAAGGCAATAAAAATGACAAGCACTGCAACCATAAGGGAACCATCAGGTTAATCACTACCAGAGTGAGAAACCCCTCTCAGGGGGCTTATCCCCCTCTACCAGGTCCACAGAAAGCACATTGTACCACAAGTCACACATGGGAAAATGTTATTAGTGCAACACTGACCAGGCTAAAAGGTTGGAAAAGAGGTGGCCAGGAGGAAATACCAGCGAGGAAGTCGTGTATGTGCATAAACAGCTCAGTGTGTGCTGTGCAGCTGGTTCAGTGAGCCAGGGGTTTTACAGAGCAGCAAGCTGCAGAAATATTTCAATACCATCAGTGTTCAGGGACTCTTATCAGGCTATTTGGTTATGCTGTTCAGCAAATCCGAGGTGACTATGCAAGTGTTACACAAAAAAAGGAATATGATGGAGTTTAAGATTAAATGAGACAATCCCAGCATTTAGAGCAAATAATTTTGAAGTCTGCCCACTACTTTTTTCCCCAGTGAATCAGGTTCATTTGTTCATAACCATGGCTGTGTTGTCCCTTCAGACAGGTCATTTTTCTGGTAGTTTGGAGAACCAGGTACAGCTCCCCATAGTACCCTGACAGAAGTCTCTGTGGCATTGTGTGGCATTTCCATGCCACACAAGACTCTTCCATTACAGTTGAAATTTGGGAATCATATAATTAAAGAATGGCCTGAGTTAGAAGAAACCTTATAGATCATCTCGTTCTATCCCCTGCCATGGGCAGGGACACCTTCCACTAGCTCAGGTTGCTCCAAGCCCTGTCCAACATGTCCTTGACCCCCCCCAGCAATGGAGCAGCCACAGCTTCTCAGGGCAACCTGTGCCAGTGCCTCAGTACCCTCACAGCCAAGAATTTCTTCCTAATTTCCAACCTAACCCTGCCCTCTGGTAGTGTGAAGCCATCCCCCCTTGTCCTGTCTCTCCAGGCCTTTGGAAATAGTCTCATTCCATCTTTTCTGTAGGCTCTCTTCAGGTATTAGAAGGCCACAATTAGGTCACCCCAAAGCCTTCTCCAGGCTGAACAATCCCCATTCTCTCAGCCTTTCAAACACTACAGTCAGCCTTTCTTCCAGGCATCCAGAGCAATCCTTTTCTCCTGGTGCAGCTCAGACAGCTGGAATCCTGGACTCTTGAAATGTTAAATATCACCACTACTCTAATACCCAGTTATTTCTGTGACAAAGCAGCTTTGCATTGTGTTACTCTAATGTTAAAAAGCAAAATGCATCCTGTTGGAAGACAGTATCCATAGCTATTTCCTGCCTAACAATTCCCAATCCAGTGGCATGGTCACTGTAGCACTGTAAAATATCTGGAGAGTCTCCCACTGAAAAGGTCTAATCACAAGGTTCAGCATCTTGCTGCTCCAAAGCATTTCTGATCATATAAACTACAGAGTATGGAGCAGTTTTCAGCAATAACTTGAGCTTCCAGAAAGTCTTAGTTAGGCCTTTTAAAAAAATTCCACCAAATCCTTCACGTTTGGAGGAGCCTCATGCACGTGTGCCAGGCAAGGATCACATTTCTGCATTCTCAGTGCAGCAGTTTGACTGTTAAACTCTGGCTCTCGGGTTTGAAAAGTTTAACCCAAGGCTTTCAAAGATGCTGTTTGATCTCTATTGACAGGCAGCAGGACAAGGTGGGGGTTTTTCCATAATGATTTTCCTGACAAGCAAATCTCAGTGTGGTATTAGAAGGGTTAAGGAGCCATCTGCTGGCAGCTCCAACAAATTGTGGAGTTGCAGCAAAGCTAATAAAATTTCAATTACAAATTAATTATGTACAGTGCATTTAATTATCCGTGGATTCAAACTGTCCATAGATAATTCAAATGAAGCACGTTCAGGGGGGGATATACAGCCTGCTACATATCTGCCAACAATTTCAATTAGGTGCCCATGGATTCTGATCTGATCTGGCCAGATCTGTCTGATCTGACTTTAAAAGGAGAAACAGCCAGGCCCAAACACAGCGTATTGAATTGGGTCATATCAATGTCTATCAACACCAGAAAAATCGTAGGATCACAGAATGCCAGAATGGTTTGGGTTAGAAGGACCTTAAAGCTCATCTCATTCCACTCCTGCCATGGGCAGGGACACCTTCCACTAGCCCAGGTTGCTCCAGGTCCCATTCAACTTGGCCTGGGACACTCCCAGGGATGGAGCAGCCACAGCTTCTCTGTGCGCCAAATATATGCAGCCCAATTTCCACATTTAGGTATTTGCCTCAAAACAGTGAGCACAGGAAAGTCTCTCTTTAAGAGCCAAAATTGAAGTTATTCACTGATTTCCACTTACATGTGAAAACAGTGAGCATTCTCTCTGAAGAGTTAAAATGGAAGTACAGTCCAATTCGAACCTTCAGCCTGCATTTGAGAGGGCTGTTAAGCACCCAGACCATCTCTGAGCCAAACAAGGAAGGTCTATACCTCAGACAGAGTTCAGCCTTTGCCAACAGCTTTTATAGCTTCTGTAACCTCCCCCGCCACATCACACTGCAGCATCAGACCCACCGGCACTGGAACAGCTCCCAGGGCAGTAGTCACAGTTCCAAAACTGACAGAGTTCAAAGGAGCTTTTGGACAATGCTCTCAGGCACAGGGTGGGATTGTTGGGGTGTCCTGTGTAGGGCAGAAGTTAGCCTGGATAATGCTTGTAGGTCCCTTGAAACATATTCTGTGATTCTGGTCTAGTGGCATGTGTCCCTGCCCATGGCAGAGGGGGCACAGGGTTGTTGGGGTGTCCTGTGTAGGGCAGAAGTTAGCCTGGATAATGCTTGTAGGTCCCTTGAAACATATTCTGTGATTCTGGTCTAGTGGCATGTGTCCCTGCCCATGGCAGAGGGTGGAACAAGGTGAGCTTTAAGGTCCCTTCCAACCCAAACCATTTTATGATTCAGCTGTTCTGAAGCTGGAGGTACCTATTGGCACATTCAAGGCCTGACAAGTTCCCACAAAGTTTCATGTGCTGAAGATTTCATTGTTTGCACTTCACCTCAGCACAGCAGACAAGTTTAGCAGCCTCATCTACTTTTCTTTTCCCCTCCCTTAAATCCACTTTTACTGTACAGACACACACACACACTTAGTGCCTTTGAAACACATCCCTGAAACAAACTGTGGTTCTGAGAAGAAAGATGTTTATGACTGAACCCTTCCTGCACTGGCTGTCAGTCAGACACAAGGTTATGTTGTGCACAGCCTATCGATTTTGTAAGCTTCCTCCTGGAAGCAGCAGTTCCAACCAGAGGGAATCAAACAAAAATAAAACCAGGGTAGAAGAATGTTCTCTGTGTGTCTCTCATTTCATGATGACTCCTTGAGCCATCATTTTTGTTGCTGAGCAAACTAGTGAGGCTCTGAGAGCCACTGGAAAGTGATTATAATTTGGCTGCAGAATGTCTAAACTACTGACGCTTCTATAGCAATCGGAAAGAGCGCAAGATGTGAAAAAACCTGTAGCATTACTGCCATCCTGCTGTGAACCAGAGGTATAGTGCCTCCGACTCTGGAGCTGGAAAACCCATTTGTAGACACTCCCCCGCTTCACATTTCACAGCTTCTGTGTTCATTCTTGGGCTCACTGCAAACTCAATACTGTTTTTCATGCATGCCAGCCATTACTACCCTCACCTCTCACGCCACAGCCATGTCTTGCCTATCTCACCATCTGTATCATCCTCAGGAAGAGGGAAGGATCCTACAGTCAGCCCAAAGGTGACAGTGGACAATCATTTGCTACTGAACTCCAAATCCAGGCTTGCTTTTGCAGAACTGCAACTAAATTTGGGTTCAGAAATAAAAGATGAGCATAAGAGTCAAAGTGATCCAATTTGGAGTGGGTTCTTAATGTTCAGTTCCTTACTAGAAGGGGTTTAATTTGCCATGGCTATTGGGAAGAGCCACTGCTATCCATGGGCACTGAACACTTGTGGGGAAAAAAACCACAACAGGATAATTGAACTGCTGAAATATGAATTCTAAAGCATAATGATAAGCTCCCAGGTATGGAAGTGTAACCATTTTAATCAACTTCTTGCCTCTGCTCCCACATTTTCTCTTAGGTGGCAAAGCAATTGCAGCCTTCAGTCGTGTGGATTGGAGAGACAGAAAAAGCATTTTCTAAAGCAGTGCCCAAGGCTGAGGAAGAGGTGAGTTGCTCCTTTATTTCAGTGCAGATAATTTCTCCTATTGCATTACATCCGACACAAAGGAATAAGTGTGTTTCTCAGCTTAGCACATACCACTAAGACCAGACCTGCCGAAGCTTGCTTGATAATAGCTTGTCTCACTGACATTTATTTCTTTCTTTTAAGAGAGTCTTGTGACTTCTTAAGAGCCCCCAAGAGGTCACATTTCTCTCCTCCACCTGTACTTGCTTTATTTAAAAATAGTCCAGTCACTGCTCATCAGTGCACTGAAAAGTGAAGGAGAATAATAGAGAGTTTCGAAATATGAGGCAAGAAACTAAAAGTAAAGATGAGCTTAAATTGTTCAGCTCTATTAATTTGAGGAATTGGATGAAGCCAAAGTGAACAATAAAATAGCAAGGATAAATTTCCACTGAGAAAACAAAGAGCCTATGTTAAATAGTTATGTTTACGGATTGTTTTCTCTGGGCTCTCAGGAGCCCTATTGCTATTGCTTCCATTCCTTTCTCTCTTGTGTGACTAGAAAGAAAATTAAAACACTGCCCAATAGTCACACTAACCACAGAAGGGAGCAATTCATCCCGAATCCTGATTGGATTCATGTTGCCTGTGAAATATTTTGCTTTTAGAGTCCTATGTGAAAAATTACACCTATTTACTTTAGGTGAGTCCTGTACATTTAGACTGTGGGATGGGTCACAAACCTGTGTTTTGGAAGGGCAACAGTGTCACCTTGAATGGAGCTGCTCCATCTGTGAGGGCTCTTTGAGGTGATGGGTGTGCAGTGATTGATGCCCTTGGTGGACCCCACAGCAAGAGGGAACCTTTCTCTGGGGTTCAAACCTTGACAGCAAGTGCAGATGGGGCTTAAAATTAAGATTAGGAGCCAAAGATGCCCTGGAATACTCATGATCCTTGTCTGCTTAGCAACCAGCTTGGCAAAATTTCTTGTCCTGCCCAGCTCAGAGTCTATGTGCCCCTGCTATCACAACCCAAGACCTACAGGCATTTAACAAACGGTCTCTTCCATTGATGGGAGTGCATGGCTCTGGGCTTGAAATCACTCATATCCAAGACAGTTCACAGCATAACCAATATTTGGACCCAGACAGTATGAAACAGGATGGACAGGCAGAGGTAACTGCCAGTTTGAGGAAGCTTCCTTAAGAGCACTAGAATTATGGGGAGTCATAGAATGGTTTGGGTTGGGAGGGATCTTAAAGCCTATCTAGTTCCAATCCCCCTGCCATGAGCAGGGACACCTTCCACTAGACCAGGTTGGCCCAAGCCCCATCCAGAAGATGAGCTTAGCTAGCCTTTGGAAGCCAAATCGAGTGCTAATCACTTTGATCATCCCAGTGTGACATTTCTGCCACCATGACTGAAGAATAGTTCATCCAGGAGCAAAAACATGAGCTGGATGTGTTATCCTGGCCAGCAGCATGCCTATGCCCCAACTCAGCTCTGGTGCTAGGACATGCTCAACTCATCATGATAAAGCAATTGCCACACTTGGAAAAATGCACAGCATGACCATAAGAATGATAATGATAAAACAGGTGCATTGTGTTAAGCCAAGTTTATTTTGAAACCAAGTTTATTTAGAAAAAAACTATGTAACTCTACCCCAAAACTTCTGGGAAACCACTGATTTCCCCATTTCCCCTCCTCTATAGCTTTCCCTCCAAAGCACAGAGCTTTGTCTCCTTTCCTCAGCTGTCTGTTACTGCAGACAACAGAAAAATTGGATCACAAAGATTGTACATGCAGTGTAGATTCACAGGTGTTTGTTACTGCCTCTCAGCTGAGAAGATTTGCAGGACATAGTTTCTTCCTTATTTATAGTCAGGAAGGCTGATCTGATACTGAAGTTCAAGTTTTTCAGGAAGTTTCCTAATCTATAGGCAAATATATTTTAAAAAATTAGTAAATCCTAAGGTGATCTAGAGCGCAGAGTTCTCAAGTGAGTGTTGTGACTTGGATGTTAGGTCTTAATCATTTCTGAAGAGGCTTCCCAGTCATTAGACTTCCTCTTATGTATCGTCCTAGTCCATCTATTCACTTACAGCTCTGTTAACAGTGGAGTGACACCACAGCAATTTGATTAAGGTTCTCCAACCAATATTCACTTGAGCATTATCAAATATAACTGTCCAATAACAGGTTTTGCTCAACACTCATCTGTTCTGCAAGTAGTATTTAAATATACATTATAAAGTCGAGTAGTAAATTATGGCAAAGAAATGAACCCTGAGCTCCAAGAACTTGCGTTCTCAGAGCCTCAGCAAGCTAAAATCACAGCAAAAATTAGGGAGTGTATTCTTCATATTTAAACCATGGGTAGAATTCAGGAAACCATAACCCCCAAGAGCTGGGAGGATTCCAGACCAGGTGACAATGTTTCTCGCTGTTAAGGTTTGTCAGGTGTACAGGTCCATGCAATGTCTCTCCTTGAGCTGTGAATGAGGATTATCCTTCTTTAAATGAGTTGTTTCCTTCCTGCTTTTCAATAACATGAGCAGCAGAGTTAATAGTGAAGGGTACTAGCACAAACCTGACTTTGAGAAGGCAGAAGCTTCCTGCTTGGGTTGAGTATCTAAGTCTGCTTATACTAAATGCAGCTAGACTACTAAAACCCCTCAAAATCCTGTTGTTTATAGAGAGTGTCCTCAACTTCACCTCCTCAGCTCTGAGCTGTGAGCATTGTTAACAACTCTTTCCTCCTTGTATTTACATGTATGTGCTGAAGATGAGCTCCAAACACCTGGGAAAGATGCTGCCCCATTTCCTTAAGGCTGTGAGGGCCACGGACAGAGTGCTGCTTGTGGGAACCACCACCAGGCCCTTTGATGCCAGTCTTAAACGTCTCTGCCAAGTCTACCAAAAAATCATCCTGATTCCCAGGCCTGACTACCTTTCAAGATTTGGCAAGTATTTCAGGTCATCCATCCTGCTGCTGTTTAAAGTCCAGGTTTATCTTGTCTGGTTATCCTCAGAACTGCCTTTCACCTCAAGTCATACCCTAGGTGCATCTCAGTTCCTGAAGATTTAGGTGAAATAGATACAGGTTACCCCAAAGATAAAGTTGGGAGTGAAATAAATATACAGTGGAATAAAAAAATGAAGTGGGAGTTGGGAGAAGAGTGTAAAATACTGTTCAGCAGTGATTAACATTTTTTCATTAGTTGTTTAGCATTCACCAAGTTCAGCCTAAGTTGTTTTCCCTCCTGTATGAAGAATGAGATCCTATAGCAGCACACATTTTCTATTTTAAGCTTTGATTTTTTCACAGAGGGTTTCTGAATTTCTATTATACCGATCCCATTTCCATCCTCTAATCAATACTCTTCTGGGTCTCTCCAGGACAAAACCTTGTCTGGAGAACTAAGTTTTGGCACTATCAAATTCCATTTCTGTGCTTACAGATCGGGAAAGAAACTGTAAAGGCATCCAGGATTTTGCATGTTGAGTCTGTCCAATGTTTACAGTGATAGACTTGCCCTCCCAAACTCTGACAAAGTCACTGACTACCCCATATGCTAATCCTCAGAGCTTCTAAGGAAAAGAGTGGGTTTTGTTAGACCAACTGACATGGCTAAAAAAAGAAACTTCCAGGATTGCAAATTTGCTTTCAGATTTTAATCACCTTCAAGTCTGCAGTAGCTTAGCATTGACTAGGAAGAAATGCTCCAAATTAAGCTTAATAATATGTATCAATTACAACTAGAAAAATGGTTGGTTGTCCACAATCCTTCACAAGAGACTGGTGGAAGGGTTTTGTCCTCAGAAATACTCCTTTTCCCATGGTTTAATTATTGATATCCTGTGGTTTAGTACACCTTTCTGTGTCCTAAGGAACCTGGACAAGGTAACTTAAGAGCAAAAGGGCTGCTTAAGGTTAGTCTAAAGATACTACGGAAAAAACCCTTTTGGGTTATTCAGAATGACACTAAACTTCAAGTCAGGACTCTCCATGATGCACGTCTACTATGAGTATCCCTGCTGACCACCTCATCAAGGAAAACAATCACCTCATGCCACTGGTCTGATAGGTCATATCCCAGAGGAAAACAGTGGTAAAGGCAAACACATGTGGGTCAGGGACCTTGTTACAGAGTTGTGCCCTGACTATAGCATTGCTCTGTCTACACAGTCACCTTATTGCACCAATGATACAAACTTATCGCGCAGTCCAGTCCGCACTGCTTCTCAAAGGCAGCCAAGGTACCAAGCGATGCTCATGTGGGCAAGCTCAAGACAGGCTTTGGCTGCCTAGCACGTTGTAAATCTCTCCCATGCTCAATAATTTTCCTAGTGTGGATGGTAAGTGGTCGCTAAATAAGCCAACACGTGTTTCATGTTAGGTTACAGCTCTGATAAATTGCTAACAGATAAGGGACACGAATAAAATCTAGAGAAAGGAGGTAACAGCAGCTGGATTTAGCTGTGTCCACTTCTGGGGATTGAACTGTCACATTCTGGGAGTCTGTGCACTAACTTGGAGTCAAAAAAAGGGCCAGTTCAAGGAATTTCAACTGCCCAAAAAAGTTAACTCATGGTGTTTTAGAGCAGATTAAACTTGTAGCTTTAATTCTTTGTCCCATTTAAGGCAGTGCCTGGCTTGTTCTTTAGCCTCAGCCTTCACTGAAGTTTAAAGGAAATATGGTCTTCACCTTGCAATCCTGTCAGTTTTCTGTGCCTGACACCCAATTTGAGAACTAAAGAAACTTGTTTTGACAGAAAAATAATGACATAACAAATACTCCCAGCCACAGTGCACAGCTACCTGTCTGCTGCAGCCCTGCCTTTTGTTGCTGGCAGAATATTCCAATCTGTGCCCAGTGGAAACAGTAAACATACAATGGAAATCATTAAACTGGAAGATTCGCAATCCTATATTGATTTCTTGCTATTAATCACCCTGCAAGACAGTTCCTTGTGTTACACATGGTCTTACCTGCGGCAGGAGCTGCAGCACACACCACACAGCTGCACAGAAGTGGTGCTTGCTGTTGTGTGCATCAATTCCTCCTTTATGAATTAGTGACTCAGCCAATAATTATTGAGCACAGATGTAATTCTAGTGGGAGATCACACTTTGCCCCAGTGAAAGATGTAGTACCAAGCTGTCAATAGTTATGGGCACGAACCCATGGTATTGACGTTGCAGTTGAAGTAAGAGTAAGACAGGTTTTCTCCAGCACATGACTTCCCTGACATGCAGCACCATTCACTTCCCACCCAATGTTTTTCTGCTACACATGAGTATATAAGCACACCACGCTCAAATCTGTTTCATTCAAGCACCTTTGTAACCTCTTATGCATAATACTTATGTTTTCATACAAGGCTTCAAAGTAAATCCTAGGGAGATGGCACCAATATTTTACTAAGTTCCTCTGAAACAAACTGTTACTTGGCATAAAATAAATTGAAATATGGTATTACTCCCTATTTTTATGGAAAGCAAAGTCTCAGGAACTTCACATCCCTTAAGAAAACTCATGGCACAGAGGTTCACAGCTTAAAGATACAACCAGGTTCACAATTTAAGTAGCAAGCGAAATGCCAACCACAGAAATTTACACCTGGCCCTTGCACCATATGCCTGCATAGCTGCAAGACTTTGTCTTCCAAACAGCCATGGAGTCCCCATAGCAGGAGTAACCTGTGATGAGGGTCAGGGAAGTAAAAACAGGCTGTTAATAAAGGTACTTAAGTCTGCACATCCAAATGGGAATACTATGGACAGGTCCTGCCTATGCACATAGGCACATATAAGTAGTTCTTTCCATTTTTATACACATATCCACCTCATTTTATGTGCCCTTAATGACTTTCCAAAAAGCCCTGACTGTCAGCCACCAAATAATCAGTAATGGTTTAAGAACACATGTGCCCAAAGGCCTCTGTGCTGCAAAGCTGTAGAGGAGAGAAACAGCAAACAAGAAAAACTTGAACCTCTTCTCTCCTGATAACCCTTACTTTTCTGTTTCAGTTTCAAAATACAGAAACTATTTCTCCTGTTTCCCTTAAATTCATGTCTTCAGCAGTTTCTCTTTTTCTGTGTCCTGATGAACAGCATTATGGAAGCACTTCATTTTGCACAATGGTGGAGCCATCACCAACTTGCTGAACATAAACTGCCTCGCACAGGTGTCTGATGGCTTCACCCCAGGACACATTGTGGAGGTGGTACAAACTGTGCTGAGCAAGCTGAGACTCCTACAGATGTGCAGGAAGCCACTGAGGACTGTCGAGTTTGTGACTTCTCTGGCCAGACACAAACCAGTGTACAACGAGGAAGAAACATTTCAGGTGACTTTCTCTATTAACTGTTTGGTCTTTCATCATTCCCTGTCATGTCCTTGTCCAGCCACACTTGGTGTAGAGACCTGCTCATTCTGCTGGTGGCTTAGCATAGCACTGTTTGAATGACGTATGGCTCAGTGGCACCAAACACTGACCTCCCCTACCTGGACATGTGCCAGAACAGTCATTCTTATGGCACCACACCTGGGATGCTGCTCTGGAGAATCTTCTGCTGGCATCCAGGTCACACTGAACAGAGTGGTCTTCACACGCATGGCTAAGTTAGGCAGGTGCCACTAGTGCCCTGCATTGGTCCTTTTCCTTTCACAGCCGAGGTGTTCAGCAAGCCTGGCTCTATCATCTTGAGAAGGCAAAAAACCCAGACACGCATGGTCTGCAGGGTGTTCCACATAGGGATCAAGATCTAAGTCCTTCTTTTCAATCTTTGAGGCAAGGCTTTCCATTTCAGGGTTTAAAAGAATTCTGCCTCAAACTCCATCCCTCTCTCCACCCTCAGGCCTATAAAACCCTGAAAGCAAAACCTAGTGCATCTGAGGTGTATTATATTCACTGGCACAGGTTGCCCAGAGAAGCTGTGGCTGCTCCATCCCTGGAAGTGTTCCAGGCCAGGTCGGATGGGGTGTGGAGCAACCTGGGCTAGTGGAAGGTGTCCCTGCCCATGGCAGGGGGTGGAATGAAATGAGCTTTAAGGTCCTTCCAACCCAAACCAGTCTGTGATTTTATATGCCCCTCAAATATACATGGATCACCCTGCAAACACCTACTTTTTCAACATATATCTCAGGAATGATTACTCTTGCTTTCCCTAGACTAGGATTGTCTCTATGTTGTGGTTAGCTCTGATTTCACTGTATTGCTTTCGGTTTTCCTGTGGTTGGGAATAGTTTCATCAGGCTTAAGTACAGATCTGTAATTTATTTACTGTAGTGACTTCAGCGTAGCTTAGGGACAGCTGAGTTGGATTTGGACTAGCTGGTTGTGTGCAACGCTTAGCAGCACTGACACCCCAGAAGGACGGCACAACACTTGACTGAGGCCATTCAAGCCTGTTAGACAGTAGTAAAAGCCTTGGGTGCTGAGCAGAAAACCCTGCTGCATACCAAGGAGCTGCAGGCAGCCTATGCCAGGGCTCCAAATGGGATGAGACCTCTGTACTGAACCCAGGAGACACCAAAAGAGCTTTCTCAGTCCCATACCCCCCATAACTTCTACCCAGACCTACTTGTAAACCTCCACTTCACCTGGCTGAAAGGTTTCCTTGTCTTCCTGCTCTTTGAAACCCCCCCGGGTTTGAATCCCCACAGCACACAACATAGAGGATGCAGATGCTGACAGCTTTGTCCAAGGCTTCTTCCACTGCTAACTTAATGATAGTGCATATTTCTCCTAGCCACGCTGAATACTTCCCAACTTCTAATTAGAGCCATTTGGCTCACTGAACACAGGCAGCATTTGTGATACTTGGTAAATTACTCTTTTTTTTCCCTTCAAGCTTCCTATCTAAACCACTACCTTTCCTCAGGGAAAAGCTAATGGTTCAGTGTTGCAGCAAAGAGAAAAAAATACTCTCTCATTCCCAGCTCCAAGTAGTAACCCATTTGTACCATGAAATAGAAGAGCAAATATTTAGTGCAAGATATTATCCCTGTTCCTATAAACGTGCCTGTTTTGTACAGCACAAAGTGTGCAGGAGCTCTTCATTCCCAATACGGCTAAAACGCTGCTGTCCTCAGCATCCCATGGCAATCACCTCCTTGCATTAATTACAGCCCTTAAGAAAGCATTTCCTTTTATCTGTTGGAATTTTGTCTCCCTTAAGCGTCACGGAACCTGGCCCCAGCACATGCAATAGGGCATAGAGGAAGAGGATTGCCAAAATGGCCTCATGCATTAATTAACTCCAGTACCTCATCTCTCCTCACACAGAGGAGCTCCTCTTCCCAAGCTTCTAATCATTGCCAGCCTTGGACCCTTTCCCTTGCTCTTCTTCATGCCTTTTTGAAGTGGGGCAGCTAAAACACTGCATTCAAAGTGAAGATTAGTCCTGTGATGAATCTTTGATTCCTCTTCCCTGGAAGCATGAATCTCCCTGTTTGACATTTATATTCTGCCAGTGTTCAAAAATGAATATAAATAATGCAAAATTTGTGATAATGTGATTTCTTCCTTCCATTTACTCAAATTTCTGTCCCAATTATACATCCACATTTTTTGAAATTATAAATTAGTGCACCAGGGTGACTGATACCAACCCTGACACAGAAATAACTGTAGTCCTAGAGAGCCAAAGCTAGCTACCACACTAGTTCTGCCTGGCAGAGACTGGACCAAAATCATGGAATGGTTTGGGTTGGAAGGGCCTTAAAGCCCATCTCATTCCACCCCCTGCCGTGGGCAGGGACACCTTCCACTAATCCAGGTTGCTCCAAGCCCCATCCAACCTGGCCTGGAATGCTCCCAGGGGTGAAGCAGCCACAGCTTCTCTGGGCAATGCTTATGTTACATTATATTGCTTATAACACATTAAAATAAAACATTCCAAAGACCGTTGGACTGTCCTCCAACAACCAAACATTTTAACTCCAATCAGTCACCTACTGCCATTACTTCCATTCCCATCTCAGATGCTAATGATAAAGCCATATTTATCCATATCTGAGGAGCTGGCTTCATTTATCCCAGGTAACAGTTCCACCAGCTAAAGAGGCAGAAGCAGCCATTACTGGATGCCAACAGGCAAATTTTGTGCATTGAAATGTACATACAAAGAATTGGGAAGAGAACAAGAAAAGACATCACAAGTCTCTCATCTGCTCCTGCCACATGTGGAGTCCTTTGTCAGTGCCCCAGCTCTGGCAGCAAGATGATCACCCCGGTCTGCATCCACCAAAAGACACTTTCCACTCTACCGAGCTCTCAGAAAACTGTTGGCAGGGTTTTGTTATTCTCTCCATCTCCCACTAAGGTCTGGAGAACATTATACCCAGGACAACAAAACTGGGGGGAAAATAGAATTTCTATGGTCTCGTGGTCTATCACACAGGAAGGCCAGAGACATTGCTGGGTTCTTATGTTTCCCTCAGAAGTCACAATCACCGCCTTGTCCTTCTTGTCCCACTCATGGGGAGGAGCAGAAACAGCCATCTCCCGACTCTACCTGCCCCATCCTGTCTACGCTTGGTGTGTTCTCCCCAACACAGGAAGAGCTTGGCCTGGGACCATCCAAGACAGCAAAATTCAATTGCCCAGGCAACTGCACTGAGAGCCCAGGGGTTCCTCCCCAACACCATCCATTCCACCATCTAGATGTGGACACACAAAAGGTTGGATGGTGCTTTTCCCAGTGGGGACAGGGTTTTTAGAGGAGGTGCTCAGCTAATTCAGGCAGTTCCAGCAGAGATCACAGCATTAGAGCTGCTCAGCAACCAACTGGACACTAGACACCTGTCAGACACCTGCTGACAGGTTTTAATCTGCAGGACAATCTGCTATCAGCCTTCTCTGGGACCCAGAAAAAGCCTTTGAGATGCCTTATACCAAGAAGGACCATCTGGGGCCAGGAAAGGAGGGTCTTTCTTCCCTATAACCTTTCCAATACCTCTTCTCCCAACTGCTTCTATTGCTGCAGCCTGTAACAGGACAAGGCAAATTCCCAGGGTTTGCCTAGGTTCAAAGGTTCAGACTGAAGGCAGCATGAGAGCAGTTCAAACTGGAGGCAGCATTTTGGATGGATCATACGGAAAAGGCAAACTTGGCAGAACGCCATGTTGGTAGGGAGGCTGGGAATGGTATGGGGCCAAGTGAAAGGCAGAGGAGGCACAGTTGTAGCATTAGATAGTGGCCTGTGGTCAAGAGGGAAGATACTTTATCAATCATGTGGTGGCACTTTAGTCTCTGATGTAGGCAGGACTCTGTTGAGAAAGGTTCCTGTACGTACAAAATACACACTGCTAACCTTAAAGCATCACCTTCTCCTTCACTTTGCATTATTTTCACAGGGCCTAGAGCTGACTCATTGACATTACAGTCCAGGAACTCGGCAAGTTTGCAGAGCAACTCTACCAAAATAATTTACAAGTCACAGGCCTGTGAACAGGCATCTGAAAGCAATAAACAGGTTTTTAATGTTCAGGGTTTGTTTTGCTTCTTAAGCTCCATCATTGAAATCAAAACTGTCTGGATCAATTTGCAGAGCCACGAGAAGTGTATGATTTGTCTGTTGCCAAGTGCAGAGCAGAGGGAGTTTTGACAAGAGCTATATACCCTGTAAATAGGGTTGATCATGGAAGTTCTAACATTTCCATAACTATGGCAACACAAATGGCCCAGCTAACTATTCCTGTTAATAAGACATGGTTCGAGCAATCACTGTACTTCTCGGTAGAATAATGTTCTCAAGAGATCTGAGGGTTTCATTTCGGCTTCTCCACAAGCCAGATGGATTTTAAGAGGTTTGGGTTTTTTAAGGAATGCTCCATAGTGCTAGTAAAAATTTTCAGTGGTCTTTCTTCACTTTTTTTTTTTTTAATGCATGCTTTTTGATTCTCCAGGCTTGGTATGCTGGGACACCACAGGGGAAGGCTTGGATCACAGCACTGGCAAAGAGCAGGCAAGAAGGAAAAGGAAAAGCAAAGAAAGGAAAAGGGAAAAACTAGCTTCCTCAAGAACTTTAAGTCTGGCAATACTAGTTACAGCTCGACTTCACCGGAGAGGGGAAGACATCAGGACATGTAGTGCACCTCGAGTTATAGGTATTCCAGGAAAGAGAATTCCTTTCTGAATAAATTTTAAAATGCTTAAAAACATTAGATGAGACATTAGCATGACGTGTAGTTCTCAGAGGATAAAGAGTTAATGGCCACTGACTTGCTCAAGCATTATTTACTCTAAGACGTTCCAGGGTGCAGAAGGGTTCATTACTCAGGTCTATAACATGCCATCAACTTTTAGGCTATACACATTTATTTCAGCAAGTAACTCTCCTTAAAAATTGATGTCACGTTAATGTCTTTCATTACTTTAATACCCTATATGCTTTATAAAACTAACTGCTTTATATATCTGTAGGTCTAACGTGTTACTGCTCCCAGTAAAACTCTTAAAGCTATAAAGACTGCTTTTTAATTGGGATGGATTAGAAGACACTTCATGCAACCTACCACAAGCTGAATATTTACATTGCTGCGTGGGGACCCGCACTTCCACCTTTTGATGCCTTGTCATGGACAAATTAATACATGTGGGTGCTGCTAGCAGAAATCATCATTAAGCAGAACAAAAGCAAAGTGGTTGGGTGTTCATTTTGGTGGATGCCCTGAGAATCTATTTTGCCATTGAAAATAATGCTCAGTTACCTTGTCTGCACAAACAGCAATGTATTTGTTGTTTAAAGTACCTTGCTTGCTCACAAATCGGCAATTTGGGGGCAAAAAGTGCTTAGAACACCCTAAAGCTCTAGTACAACCTACATGCCACAGGTGGAGTCAGAACCACCTTTATGTCAAGCACAGGACCTTATTCACCAGGGTCTTCCTCAAATAACAGCCACAGATACCTGTTTTCACTTCTGAGCACAGCATTCCTGTGTGCACTAGACAACAGGTACCTGGTACTACCTGTTTACCGGGAAACACAGGGCCCACATCCCCAAGGAGTCCAAGGACCTCTCTGTACCTGTACAGACAGGCTGGGAGGATCAAGGAAGACAGCACTGTTGTAGGAAGCTGCTGGAAGGAGGTGCTGTTGAGCTTCTCCTGCTCCTAAGAGGAAATCCAATAGGAAAAAAAAGATGTCCTTGGAAACAGGAATGTTTGGGGGACAGAAGTCTGGAGGGATTCCTAGAGGTAAATAGCTGCACAGAAAACCAGTCAAGCAATTGTATCATTGCACACAGTGGAGGGAACTGGATGGGTCTGGTTAATAAAGGGAATTTTCTTCCTGTGGGAAGAACAGGCTGCCGTGCTATCACGCTATGTAGGATAGAGCCCCCCCTAGTTTGGACTTTTTGTGGTCCTCTTTGGTGATATTTCGCTGTCTGGTACAGGGCTTACCATGATTTCACCCTTCCAACCTTGAGGCTGCATCTCCAGCCCTACAGGTGAGATCCAAGCACCAAGTGAAGAAATGCTTGCTACATCTCTCTGCAACTCCTCTAGACACTTCCGGTGCACAAAAGTAATTCCTCAGCCATCCCAACAGTAATCCAGTTGTTGTAGCCTCAGCATGACCCACACAAGGGACCCCATGAGTATGAGCTGCCAGTCCCTCAGTTTAATTGCTTGCAACAGAGCAGCTACAAACCTTGGCTCTCCTTCCCTTATTCTTTCCTTGCAGATACTTGCTTGGGGCAGGCTGCTGGCCTCCCAAATTTGGCAGCACCTCCTAATTTTATAAAACAAGGTCCTTTCACCTTCATCCTTGGGGAGTAAAGCCAGACTCTCCAAAGAGGTGACAGGGTTTCTGTTAAAAAAACAAAACCTCATCTCTGCTCTCACACACAAGGAAACTAATTTGGATAATTCTGTCCTCAATCTTGCTGACAGTGGGATACTCCTCTCCACAACAGGTTTGACAGCAGAACGTGATGTGATGAAAAGACCACATTTAGGCAGGACGTAAGCAAGCCCATTAACTCATATTTCAACAGGTTCACTGCAATCTCAATAGCAAAGTAATGCACTGACTGGCAACATCCATCTCCAGGGCACAACACCAACCCCACACAGGGAAGATGCTGAACCTCCCGCCACCCCAGATATGCTCAGAGGGCAGACACACGCAGTTTTTCACCATTGTCCACCAGTTTATGAGCAAAAGTACTGGGTGTGGCTTGCAATGGTGGTTGCTTGCAGTGGAAACTGCATTTCTTTTTTCCATGTCGATCTACAGGCCATGGCTGGTGCATCTACAAACAGCTCCCTGGGGGTGGAGGGGACACACTGGCAATAAAGGCTGGTGAAGCACTGGCCCAGGTTGCCCAGAGAAGCTGTGGCTGCTCCATCCCTGGAAGTGTTCCAGGCCAGGTTGGATGGGGCAACCTGGGCAGAGTGTGGAATGAGATGATCTTTGTGGTCTCTTCCAACCCAAGCCATTCTGTGATTCTATAAAGCAGAAAACCTCTACTCTCTATAGCTGTCAAGTCCTCGCTCTCCTTAGGAGCATCCTCTGGGGAGCTCACGGATGGGGAGGGAAGAATGAGGAGCAATTTCAATGCTGTTTATCATTACAGAAAGCACAGCTACTTGAAAAGTGAAGCAGCTGCATCAAGCCAAGCCACCACACAGTAATTTCAGTGTCAGTGGCTGAGCTAGTCACCCTGTTTGGGCCTGCTGCAAAGCTGAACAGTGCTCTCACAGGAGCACCTCTAGCAATGCTCCTCCAGCATCTCTAAAGAGATCTTTCACCATGCAGAGAGATAAAAAAAGTACTGCAGCTTTTTGCTAAGCCTGGCACAGGGCAGTTGCACTCTGCTTTCCAGCCACAGCCATCCCAAAATCCCATGGAGGAGGAAAATCCCCTTTGTCAGATGCTGCTTCCCACTTAGATCCAGCAGGAGGAGAGTTTCAGGAGACAGCAGAGAGGGGTGCAAGGCTGCTTTGCCACCTGAGGTGGCGCCGGGAGGTAATCCAGCAGCACCAGAGTTGAGAGAAGAAGCTGTCATGCTCATTTATATATGTAAGTGATCTAGAGAACTATCAGCTAAATTATTTAAATGTCCCATTACTATTAAATTACTGGGCATTCATTGTAAGAACAGTCATAATACAGTAACTAATTTGGTATTAATGTGAATGTCAGTGTTTCATTGCAGTTATTTTGTACTTCATCATAAGATAATTTACCAATAAATTAATTGGTTAATTGCTTCTTCCAAACCCAGGAGAACTACATATGACACGACTTTTGAAAAGTCTTCATGCCTATCTTTCTGCTTGAACCACACCAAGCAAGAACCCACTTTGAAACACTTGGAAAAGGAAGCAAAGACAGACCTCCCTCTCCCAGAGACAGCAGAGTCTTGGAATGACCGTGTGGGTTTTAATGTGCTCTAAATACAGGCACCGAGACCATGCTTGAGGCAGCTTGGCAGGGTCCTGGGTGGTGGGCAAGGAGCACACCACAACACTCAGCTCCCATCCATGGCAGGGGAACCACCTGAGAATCATTCTCACCTACTTCCCTGTTTTACAAGTTCCCCACATCACCTTTGCCTCCCCAAAATACCAGTAATCCCCATCAACTGGGCATCAGCCCAACCAGCCAGTGCAGAGACTCAAGCCACAGCCAACAGACCTGGAAATAAGTTTAGCAAAAGGCAAAAAAGTGGCATAATCAGGATTTCAGGAGTGAGGTGGATATACCCTTCCTTAGATGAGCTATCTGCCAATGGATTTAAACCCTATCAATAAGCCTGGGAAATACAAACCATTTACCATCCTAGGATAAGTGAGAAACCAAATCTAGTGGATCCAAGTCATGAGGGCGCTGGGGTTGTTCAACTCCTTCCAAGTGCTCAAGGGGCTCCAAGACAGCTGGAGAGGAACTTTGGACAAGGGTCTGGACTGAGACAGGACAAGGGGGAATGGTTTCCTACTGCCAGAGGGCAGGGTCAGATGGGATACTGGAAAGAAATTCTTCCCTCTAGGGTGGTGAGGCACTGGCACAGGTTGCCCAGAGAAGATGTGTCTGCTCCATCCCTGGAAGTGCTCCAGACCAGGTTGGATGGGGCTTTGAGCAACTTGGGCTAGTGGACAGTGTCCCTGCCCATGGCAGGGGGTGGAACAAGATAAGCTGTAAGGTCCCTTCCAGCCTAAACCCTTCTGTGATTTATGAGGCATCACCTCCATGCTACCCTAGAGCACCCACCAAGCAGCCAGGGAAGAGCCATACCAGCCTCTCTGCAGACCCTGAGCATCATCCCTGTTGGCATCCCTGCAGGAGACACATCTCCCTGCTGGCAGCAAGCTCTCAGGGATGCAGCCTACCAAAGGCAGCTGCCGTGAACTCATGGTTCCACAAAGTGCCTCAGGCATTATTAGGTCCCTGGCTTATGCCAGAGCCCTTTAGTCAGACACTGTAGGTAACAGCCCTTGTCTCTGGTCCCTGTCAGTTTTGCAGGAGCTATTCTGCCTCCTTGCCTGCACTGATTTAGGGATGGCATTATTGGTATTGTCTTCTGGAAAGCCAACTCCTCCAGCACTGGGATCTTTACCACCAGAGCTAAACCTCTCAGACAACCACAGTGAATCTCCCTGAGCTCTAACCCTCTGATGCCCACGAGCTTAGTAAAAGTTTACTGCTGGTTTCTTCGTCAGGAGTTGGGGGGAAAAGCTCCATCAAGAGCACTGTGGGTAAGGGCAGTTATTTCCTCCTGTTTCTTACTGTAAATGTTTTATACCATATTAAGAGTGCTCTTTTGCAAAGTGCTGGGAACAGATCGCACCAGGCTTGGTGCTTCGGCACACACTCCTCCACCATCAGGGAAAGATCAACCTGATTGAAAAACGCCGCTAAACCCTTATACATGCCGATTTTCCCTGCTCCTGTGTAGTCTGCCTCACTCCAGGCTGGCAAACAGACCAGCTCCAGGTGGGAACAACCCAGGGGAATACATCTCCTTCCAGCAAGCCCTACCGTGGTGCCTGTGGTAGCTTGT